TCAGCTTAGAACCTCTGGGCAGGTGCATGCCTGATTGATGATGAAGGGAAAGATGGCGGTCCCAAGCATTTTCTGTAAGAGGTACCATTTCTTAGTTGTGCATTCTCTGTCCTGAGCATATCCTCCTTTGGGACATTATAGTGCTAGGAGCCTGCCTCTCTGGCTTAAGATAATTTTTAACACTTCCAAGTGAAGTCTCCAAACCAATTTTTATTCTTGAACACATTCTAAACATCTTAAACCTTAGTTGCAATGTCTTAATGTCCCCTTTGGAGCCTTTTCCCATAGCACATTTGCAGCCTCTGCCCTGGGGGACAGAGGAATAGGGAGCAAGATGGTCCTCTGATAGAGATATTTTGAGACTACCCACCTTTCTCCTCAAGAACATTCAAAACAATACTCAAAATGGAAGAGATTCTACATCATGCTTTGGAAATATATTTTCAAATGTTGCATCAGCTTTTAATTTGTTAGTGGCAAAACACTTTCCATGGACAATATCGCATATGTTTTTTTTATTTTTTGAGACTGACTCTGGCTCTGTCACCAGACTGGAGTGCAGTGGAGGCAATCTTGCTTCACTGCAACCTCCACCTCCTGGATTCATGTGATTCTCCTGCCTCAGCCTCCCATATAGCTGGGACTAACAGGCGCATGCCACCACACCCAGCTGATTTTTGTATTAGATGAGGGTTCACCACATTGGCCAGGATAGTCTCGATCTCTTGACATCATGATCTGCCCACCTCAGCCTCTCAAAGTGCTGGGATTATAGGTGTGAGCCACTGCACCTGGCCAATATTGCATATCTTAAAAGATAATTACTAGTTAAGAACAATCAGCTTGATTGGTCTTATTAATCAAAAATTAATGCTAGTCATCTTGCCTAATTATCTATGTATGTGTGCAAACATGGCTGTGCATACCCAAATACCCACATACACACACATTTCTTTCCACTCCCATCAACATGAAGCATTCATTCTGTGAAATGGGATTACAGATGATTTTGCTAATTTCCCTCTTTATGGTTTTCTACATTTTCTAAATTTTCCACGGTTAATGTGATTAATATGTATTATGTTAGCAATTTTAAAAATCAAAAAAAATATAATGGAAGAAAGGGAAGAAAAAAGCAGAAGGAAGAAGTTGGGAGAGAAGAATGATAGAGAGGTAGAGCAGCAGCAGAGAGGGGAACCGATAGAAAGACCAAGAGAGGAAAAGAGAGAGAGCACACTCAGTGAACTGCTAGCTCAAGCCTACACCTGTCAGAACGGGAAGTCAGTCATCCTGAAAGCCCTTCTCAGACAGCTTAGAGAACGCATTTAGGAAAATTCTATAATGTACTCACAGTCCATGCATCTGCTCTCTTACATCATCACTAAAGATATTCTCCCCAGAAGAAATGGATAGTAGTTTATGCAGAAAAGGTCATTCGTTTCCTTTTTTTTTTTTTTTTTTTTTTGAGGCGGAGTTTCGCTCTTGTTACCAAGGCTGGAGTGCAATGGTGTGAGCTCGGCTCACCACAACCTCCGCCTCCTGGGTTCAGGCAATTCTCCTGCCTCAGCCTCCTGAGTATCTGGGATTACAGGCATGCGCCACCATGCCCAGCTGATTTTTTGTATTTTTAGTAGAGACGGGTTTTCACCATGTTGACCAGGATGGTCTCGATCTCTTGACCTCGTGATCCCTCAGCCTCCCAAAGTGCTGGGATTACAGGCTTGAGCCACCACGCCCGGCCTTGTTTTCTTTTTCATATTATAATATAAGTTCTGGGATACATGTGCAGAATGTACAGGTTTGGTAACATAGGTATACATGTGCCATGGTGGTTTGCTGCATCCATCACCCCGTGATCCACATTAGGTATTTCTCCTAACATTACCCCTATCCCCCACCCCCTGCTATCCCTACCCTAGTCCCCTACCTCCTGACAGGCCCCAGTGTGTGAGGTTCCCCTCCCTTTGCCCAAGTGATCTCATTGTTTAACATCCACTTATGAGTGAACATGTGGTGTTTGGTTTTCTGTTCTTGTGTCAGTTTGCTGAGAATGATGATTTCCAGCTTCAACCATGTGCCTGCAAAGGCATGAACTCATTCCTTTTTATGGATGCATAGAATCCCATGGTATATATGTGCCACATTTTCCTTGTCCAGTCTATCATTGATGGGCATTTGGGTTGGTTCCAAGTCTTTGCTATTGTGAACAGTGCCACAATAAACATGTGTGCATGTGTCTTTATAATAGAATGATTTGTAATCCTTTGGATGTGTACCCAGTAATGGGATTGCTGGGTCAAATGGTATTTTTATATCTAGGTCCTTGAGGAATTGCCACACTGTCTTCCACAATGTTTGAACTAATTTACATGCCCACCAACAATGTAAAAGCATTCCTATTTTTCCATATTCTCTCCTGCATCTGTTGTCTCCTGATTTTTTAATGATTAATTGGCATGAGATGGTATCTCAATGTGGTTTTGATTTTCATTTTTCTAATGACCTGTGATGATGAGCATTTTTTCATATGTTTGTTGGTTGCATAAATGTCTTCTTTTGAGAAGTGTCTGTTCATATACTTTGCCCACTTTTTGATGGGGCTGTTTATTTTTCTTTATACTCATTCAAAACAAAGGCTGTTTTAGTTGCTTCTACTATTGCCAAACATAAGGCCTAGCCAGAAGTTTTTTTTTTTTTTGCATTGATTTTAATGCTGCTTCTCCAGCTCAACCTTTGAATGTTCAAAAATAATAATTTTTTAAAGACAACCACAAAATTAATATCCAAGCTCTGCATGGTTTCTTTCTACAAGGAGGCTCATAGGGATGATTGTAAAATCAATGAAAATCAATACTTTCAAGAATGATATTGACCTGCTAACTAATAAACAGCATTTCTAGGAGAAAGCAGGGTGCTCTCAAAATTCAAGCTGCATGCAAGTGTGTCAGGCGTTTTAAAATGCACTTAATGTTAGAATCTTTACCGTGCACCATGACCTGCTTCCTCTGGACTAGCTACATCAGTATAAAAGACAAATTTACATCCCAAGAAATGGCCAGTGACAGTCTCTTCAAACCCAGGATCAGACCTGTGGACTGAGCACCAGTTTATGCTGATTGATGGCCTTTTGTCACTCTGCCTTAGAGGTTGTGACCTTCGAGAGTTCAAAATGGATGAAGTCAAACAGAACAGACACTCCTGTTCAATGAAGCAGAAAGACAGGACCAAGAAGCCAACAATTCTGTCAAAAAAGAAAATGTTCTGCCCAGAATAATCAGTCAGGGTTTCAAAACTTCTGACACTTTCATATCCAATGCATACAAAAATATCTATGATGAATGCAGATAAAACAACTGATCACGTTTCTTTTACATCAGTACATAAAACTTTAAGAAATAAATAATCTATGCAGTCTTTTAACTCAACAATTACACTTGCAGATAATTATACTTTGAAGTATTTATTATATTTTTTTCTAAAATTAAGTGGCCTGATAGACTACCGCTTACAATTTTTTAAAATAGGAAATTAGTTATAAATTATAACTAGTTAAAATAATGTAACACCATGAAATCATTAAAGATAACATTGGAGAATATATACAAATAATATAATAATGAAAAAAGATTTCCAAATTGATATGAATGTTATGTCACATATATGTATCAATATATGAAAGAGATAAAGATTTCATAACATATAGACATACATAGAAATATATATATAATATATGCACATCAAGAAAAAAAATTTCCACACCCTGAAGTGTGCACACCCCACTTTGGAAAAGACTGACTTAGAGCAAAAGGATATTCAGCGGTAGGAAGTTAAGCCTGCTTTCCATCTTTTTTTATACCCGGTGGCAACATAATCCAGCTAGAGCAAAACACTTGGTAAGATGCACCTCACAGCAGCATTTGAGGGAGAAAGGGACACAATCCTGTTTCCTCAGAGTTATCCAGCTAATGGGAAGCTGGATTATTAGCTGGGCTTGAGAATGTGTAAAGTAAAACACTAGAAAGCTAAATTTAAGTGTGTGAACATTTTCCCACACTCAGTCTTTGGTTTCAAGACAGAGACACTAGATAACTTACACTCTGAGGCAATTGGTTCCTGATAGCAAACTGTAGTTGCCATCTTAGGTAGCAAATCATGGGCTCTATAACTGAGGTGTATAGACTAATTCTCACTACATCTCTGCAAGTCATATTCATCTCACTTTCTGCAGAAAGAAGGTTGAAGTGAAATGTTAAAGGTCATTATTTTGTCCAAAACATAGTCATGAATCTCTACTAGTTGATAATCCTTACTCTTCTTATTTATTATTTTAAAAAGTCATATCAAAAAAGTAATATACTGCGTCCATTGGCAACGAGTATAAATCCAAGCAGAGATTGATTTGATGACCAACCTTCCATCACACAGGAATAAACAGCCCGGAGTCAAACTGGAATTGAACTTTCTGTCATTAGTCACACATTCTACCAAATAATTATTGATGGAATCAGAAACTTTGTATTATCTTTCTTAGTGAAGTCTCAGTATTCGGTCACATTCTCTATTTCTTCACTTGAAAAGGCCAGAGAATTAGAAGAATATATGGTTCTGAGACAGAGTCACTGAGCACAAGGAGGGGGTGCTGGGCCCTGGGGTGGGGAGATGAGACCAAACTCTTACGACACGTACGAGCTGGAAACTGACTCCTAACACACATGCCCTGGAGCGCCACCTGCCACATGGGCCGCGTGGTGAGGGTCCCGGGATCTCCAGAGGGACCGGTGCCTTGGGGTGGGAAATGGTGGCAATGGCCCTAGTCCGAGGCCCAGCTGCACTCTTGATGTCTCCTCCCCAGCCTGGCAAGCCGACACGTGGTGCGCCCCAGAGGTGGCTCTGCCGCGTGCTTTTTGCACCTTGTTTTGGGTACATGGTGGCCTACCAGGTCCCCCACGTGGCTGCACTGCCTCTTTTAGGGGTGGGGTTGTCTCACTGCAAAAGGAATAATGTTCATGAGAAAACCAAGGCAGGAAAAAAATCAAGGTGACCCCAAGAAAATGGCTTCTCCTCCAAAGGAGGTAGAAGAAGATAGTGAAGATGAGGAAATGTCAGAGGATGTAGAAGGTGATAGCAGTGGAGAAGAGGTTGTCATACCTCAGAAGAAAGGCCAGAAGGCTGCTGCAACCCTACCAAAGAAAGTGGTAGCTTCCTCAACAAAGAAGGTTGCAGTTGCCACACCAGCAAAGAAAACAGCTGTCACTCCAGGCAAAAAGGCAGCAGCAACACCTGTCAAGAAGATAGTTACACCAGCCAAAGCAGTCACCACACCTGGCAAAAAGGGAGCCACACCAGGCAAAGCATTAGTAGCAACTCCTAGTAAGAAGAGTGATGCCATCCCAGCCAACGGGACAAAGAATGGCAAGAATGCCAAGAAGGAAGACAGTGATGAAGAGGAGGAGGGGGACAGTCAGGAGGACGATGATGACAAGGATAAGGATGAGGATGAATTTAAACCAACAGTGGGGAAAGCAGCAGTTGCTGCCCATCCCTCAGAGGATGAGGACGATGAGGATGATGATGAAGATGATGAAGACGACTCTGAAGAGGAAGCTATGGAGACTATGCCAGGCAAAGGAAAGAAAGCTGCAAAAGCTGTTCCTGTGAAAGCCAAGAATGTGGCTGAGGATGAAGATGAAGAAGAGGATGATGAGGACTAGGATGATGATGAAGATGATGACGAAGATGATGATGAAGATGAGGAGGAGGAAGATGAAGAGGATGAGGACAAGGGTGATGATGAAGATGAGGATGAAGACTATGAGGATGATAAGGAAGAGGAGGAAGAAGATGAGGAAGAGCCTGTCAAAGAAGCACATGGAAAACGAAAGAAGAAAATGACCAAACAGAAAGCAGCCCCTGAAGCCAAGAAACAGAAAGTGGAAAGCACAGAACTGACCACAGCTTTCAATCTTTGTTGGAAACCTAAATTTTAACAAATCTGCTCCTAAATTAAAAACTGGTATCAGCAATGTTTTTGCTACAAACAAGCTTGCTGTTGTGGATGTCAGAATTGGTATGACTAAGAAATTTGGTTATGTGGATTTTGAATCTGCTGAAGACCTGGAAAAAGCCTTGGAACTTAGTGGTTTGAAAGCCTGGGCAATGAACTTAAACTAGAGAAACCAAAAGGAAAAGAAAGAGCGAGATGCGAGAACACTTTTGGCTAAAAATCTCCCTTACAAAGTCACTCAGGATGAATTAAAAAAAAGTGTTTGAAGATGCTGCAGCGATCAGATTAGTCAGCAAGGATGGGAAAAGTAAAGGGATTGCTTATATTGAATTTAAGACAGAAGCTGATGCAGAGAAAACCTTTGAAGAAAAGCAGGGAATGGAGATCAATGGGCGATCTATTTCCCTGTATTATACTCGAGAGAAAGGTGAAAATCAAGACTATAGAGGTGGAAAGAATAGCACTTGTCGTTTTGAATCAAAAACTCTGATTTTAAGCAACCTCTCCTACAGTGCAACAGAAGAAACTCTTCTGGAAGTACTTGAGAAAGCAACTTTTATCAAAGCACCCCAGAACCATACTGGCAAATCTAAATGGTATGCGTTTATAGAGTTTGCTTCATTTGAAGATGCTAAAGAAGCTTTAAATTCCTGTAATAAAAGGGAAATTGAGGGCAGAGTTATCAGGCTGAAGTTGCAAGGACCAAGGAGATCACCTAATGCCAGAAGCCAGCCATCCAAAACTCTTGTTTGTCAAAGGCCTGTCTGAGGATACCACTGAAGAGACATTAAAGGAGTCATTTGATGGCTCTGTTCCGGCAAGGACAATCACTGACTGGGAAACTGGGTCCTCCAAAGGGTTTGGCTTTGTAAACTTCAACAGTGAGGAGGATGCCAAAGCTGCAAGGAGGCCATGGATGATGGTGAAATTGATGGAAATAAAGTTACCTTGGACTGTCCCAATCTAAGGGTGAAGGTGGCTTTGGGGGTCATGGTGGAGGCAGAGGTGGCTTTGGAGGATGAGGTGGTGGCAGAGGAGGCCAAGGAGGATTTGGTGGAGGCCAGGGAGGCTTTGGAGGGTGAGGCAGCTTCCGAGGAGGCAGAGGAGGAGGAGGTGACCACAAGCCACAAGGAAAGAAGACGAAGTTTGAATAGCTTCTGTCCCTCAGCTTTCCTTTTCCATTTGAAAGAAAGGACTCGGGTTTTTACTGTTACCTGATCAATGACAGAGCCCTCTGAGGACATTCTAAGACAGTAAACAGTCCTGTGGTCTCCTTGGAAATTGGTATAGATAACATTTCATGGGCAATACTTTATGGTTTTGACTAGATATTCATATAAACTTTTTAAAGAGTTGAGTAATAGAGCTAACCCTTATCTGTAAGTTTTGAATTTATATTGTTTTATCCCATGTACAAAACCATTTTTTCCTACAAACAAACAAACAAACCAAAAGACTATATGGTTCTTGGACAAATGTTGTGAAAACCGTTACACACTGGAGCCAAAGACAAAACACAGAAAAACACAAGACACCAAAAGTGTGTGCAAGTCAGTGTGAAAGGCAAGGAAGAGGTTGCAAATGGCCCACAGAGACCAGCCTTCTACTTCCTGGCCCTAAATCCTTAGAAAGGTTCTTTCTCTTTCTGAGACTTGTTTTCTCATATAGAGGAAGTAATCACACATAACTTAGCAGACACATCAGGTTTAAAGAAATGAAAAAACAGCAGCATACAGAAGTTAAGGGAGTGCTCTGGAGACAAACACCTTGAACTTCTATCCTGAGCAGTACTCCCTAGCCCTGTTATCCTGGGTTACTTAACGTTACCCTCCTGTTTATGTTCCTTCATCTATAAAGTGGGCAATGACCTTACTCATCCTCAAGGTTTCATTGAGGATTACATGAGTAAACACATGAAAACTCTTCCTGCAGTGCCTACCTACCACATTGCTAATGTTCAGTAAATGTCAGCTCTGATGATATTGATGATGATGAAGATAAAGATCCTGAGAAAGAACAAGAATAATGACTATCGTGTGTAAAGTGGTCAGAAGGCTGAAAACATATGTAATTCTTCCCATAATCAATGATCCACATCCAAAATCCCTTCTTAAGATTGAAACTCAAATTTAAGCCTTAAAATGGCCGCCCACTTACCCCAAATTGTAAAGATATTCCTACAGAAGCCAAGCAATGTTTTCCAAGGATTATCAGTGCTCTAAACCAGCTCATCTCAAACTTTTTATAAAATAATCAAACTATTTTATTATTTTATTGTGAAAGTGTTAGAAACCCAATGCTTTGGCTATAAAGTTCCATAAAATATAATCAAAACACTCCAGGGCCTAAAATATCACCAGGCACTTTTATAGAGTTCGATGATGAGTGAGAAAGATCCATCCAGAAAGACCTATGAAAAATCTTTATTATATTACACTCAACTGCTTTTATGCACCACCTACAGATGCTCAGGGAGAAGGAAATGACAGCTCTATGTAACATGATTTAAGCATTCCAGAGACTGTTGGCTTTGCCATGAAACATCAATTTCTTGGCACTTTCACATTACTTTTTCATGTTGTCATATTTTTGGAGAAAAATAACAAAATAGTTGGACCAAGCAATAATATTTCTCATACAAATAAACCTTCTGCCTTCTCTGGTGTATTTATGTTTACATGCTTGGAAGAGCCAATAGTCATTACTACATCCAACCAATAATATTGAAACTGGGAATGTACTTGTTTCTTTGCAATAAATCACAGAAGAGAGCAGCCCTTCTAGTACTGAGACGTCAAGATGATAAAATAAATAGAAGGCTTGTCTTCTGTGAGAAAACAAAATGTGTGTGTACTTGTGTGTGTGTCTTGGATAGTACCAAAAGATCTCTATTTTTTCTTCTTTTTGCCTGTTATTTCCGTGCTTCCTTACATTTCTATCTTGATACACAGAAATACATAATAATAAGTTGGAAATAGCAATAAAAGCAAGCACAACAAGGAGCAATTATTTTCAAATTTGCTTATGCATCAAAATTACGTGGAGTTTGTTTTAACACAGATTCCTGTTCCTGACCCCAACAATTTCCTATTCAACAGGTTTAAGATAAAACTGATTGTATTTCTAATCAGTTCTCATCCAGGTGAAGCTGATGCTGCTAAATCAGGGACCACCATTTGAGAACCAGTGATGGAGAAGAATGGTTACCAGCCTTACATGGTATCACAGAATGAGTGTTCTGGCCTTAACACTTCTGTGTGACCCAAGGCACAATATTTAATCTCTCCAGATTAGTTTCTCAATGATGAAATGAGGAGTTTGAACAAGATGAGCTTCGAGATTTTTCTCCACACCAAAGAGCCATGAATGCTAAGCTCTCTCTGTGCCCTGTAGCCCTGGAAAGGCACCAGACTGACTCAGGTGCTGCTCTTCCATCATGCACAGGGATTCTGTCTTTGCTTTGGTCTCCATCAATGGTTTGCAAAGGTTGTCAAAGCAGCAAGGACAGTTAAATAGATGGCATCCTATTTCTAAAATGTATAATGCTTTACAACTTGTTAGCTCTTCCTCCCATGTGTAGTAGAGAGAATATACTATAAGATTTGGCTTCAAATGAACACCCCTCATAGTGTCTGTTTTGGTAGGAGAATTGACACGATAACAAAAATTAAAATTTATATTTATCAAACACTATATGCCAGATACTATAAGGTCTTTATATACATTGTAATATAGTCCTTATTATAATCCCATAGGGCATTCAATATTATCATGCTCAATTTGGGCAGCAAAATGTACTCAGAATAGCCTTTCAATCCACTCAAAGTCACACATGCAGCATAACTGAGATGCAAAATCAGCCTAGTTTGATTTCAGATCTAGGGACCCTGACCATGGTGACAGTTTAAATTTTATTGCTTATAGATATAACATATAAATTGTATAATTGTAGTATAAACTGCAGTTGTACCCTAACTGAGGGTAAAGATCTGTTTCCAACAACAGATCAGGTGAAAGGATGAGATGGGGAAAGCAAGAGGGTAGAAATCCACTGGGCAGAGCCAATGAGACTCATGCTGAAATCCAAGTAGATTCAAAACACAAAAGCCATCGAAGTAGGTCAAAATCAAATTCGGGGCAGCTAATGGGCTACTGGGAAGATATAAGAACCAGGAATTATATGGGAGCTAGTCCAATTATATGGGAGCTCCTCCTATGGTGGAGGCTCCTGGAATGAGATCTGCTAGTACTGAAGGAGGAATCTCATTTATCTAAAGAAGCCATCCTTTGTCCTAGAGCCTGACCCTGATTTATCACAGCCCACTCCTACACAGGAGGAAGAACAAACGTTGGGCTAAGAAAGGTCAGTAATCCATGGATTTTATCCTAATTCTTCATAAGGTGCACATTCAAAAAACTGCTGAAGAAAATTGTCTTCTTTTTTTTTTTTTTTTTTTTTTGAGACAGAGTTTCGCTCTTGTTACCCAGGCTGGAGTACAATGGCGTGTTCTTGGCTCACTGCAACCTTCACCTCCTGGGCTCAGGCAATTCTCCTGCCTCGGCCTCCTGAGTAGCTGGGATTGCAGGCATGCATCATCATGCCCAGCTAATTTTTTGTATTTTTAGTAGAGACAGGATTTCACCGTTTTGACCAGGATGGTCTCGATCTCTTGACCTCATGATCCACCTGCCTCGGCCTCCCAAAGTGCTGGGATTACAGGCGTGAACCACCGTGCCCAGCCGATTCTTAAATTACTCAACATCAAAATCATTTTAATTTTACCAACAAATAAAATAGAATATTTTACATTTAGAAGACTCTGAGTGACCCATTGGAAATCTGCCCATCCTCAAAGTTCCCAACAAGTTACCAGCCAGATTCAACCCTCCTTTGCAAAGGCTTTCTCAGCAATAGTGGCTCATGATTTCCTATGTAAGAAGGGCCATTCTGGCTCAACAGGGAGGCTGAGAAATTCTTTAAACTTCATTTACTCACTCTTTTGCAGGACTCTACATTTATTTGGGGTGTATTGAAATGAATGTCTGTGGCAAGTATGGTGTCTTAATTTTTTAAAGTTATGTTTGTTGAGGATCAAAATATGCCACCCCAACATAAGCCACTTTGGTATAAGGGTTATTTTGAATTGGAGGCAAATGAGATTCAACAGATGCATGTGCCTTCCTGGCATGACTCTTATCTGAGTAAAAGCAGAAAACTCCATAGAAATGAGAACTTCCATCAACCCCTCTCACAGGGAAGTTTTCTGGCTATGAATAGAACAAAAAGTCACCATCTAGATGGACCTGCACAAGCATACTCCATGAGCGCTCCCATGTGTTGACCTTCCCTCTCAGAAGTCTAACGGTCTTGTCACCTCTACAAATGCATTGCTTTTTGCTAAGATGCTATGTAAGCCCAAGTTCTAACCACACCTTTGGGCTACTTATCACTAAGATTCCTCCTTGTACCCTGCACAGGATAATAATCTGAATAATCTGTTTTTCTCCTGTTATACTGTCCTTTGATAATCTGATTTGTGGGGCCTTAGCAAATAACCTAAAATTGGTAAAGGAAAAAGACTTCATTTTCCTCCTTTTCCTATTCATGATATCTGAGGGATTGAAAAGAGAAGAGGGAAGTTAAGCCTCCCCCTCAAGCTATCCCCTGGACTACCAGGGCTTCTCCAGTGCTCTACATTCTTAGCGGACATGCTGGAGGCTTTCCTCCATTTCAGGGGCTGCACAAAGTGCTTTCCTAGAATGAGACCCTTACTAACCTTTCCCAGGGGCTCACAGACGTAAGGCTGGCAGACACATCAATGAAGAGCTATGGTGGAGGCAGAATTACATCAATAATTTTGGTCTCAGACAGACCCCCATGCAGTCTTCCCCATCTCAGTAAACCATAAATGTAAATGTAATTGCAATGTTTACAATATTTTCCACTTCTTTTCTGTATGGTAGCTGATGAAACCATTACAACCACACTATAAAGAAGTACTATCAGTACTTTCACATTATAGATGAGGAAACTGATGAATTTTTTTCTCCAAGACTGGTGTCTACAAGAGTATTTTCCTAAGTTTTCTCAGAAAATTTAGAGCAATGGTGTAATCATAGCTCACTACAACTTTGAATTGCTTGGCTCAAGCATGTTTCCTGCCTCAGCTTCTGAAGTAACTATGAC